GGGGAGCCAGGGCTACACGGGCCGGTCACGGCGGGGGCCCTTCGGAGATGCCCTCCTGGAGCTAGACGGGGCAGTGGGGAGCCTGCTGCAGGCGCTGCAGGACCACGGCCTGGACGGCCACACGCTCGTCTTCTTCACCTCCGACAACGGGTGAGCTCGGGCCCCTGCACCCAACACCGAGGCCTCCTGCGGGGCCGGGGCCGAGTGCTGAGCCTCGTCCTCGGGGGTCCGGGTGCACAGCCCCGCACCCCGCTTGGCTGGTGGGTGGGATGCTCTCGGGGCTGTTTCAGGATGCTGGCGGGTGGCGGGTGCTGGCCCGCCTCATACCCGCCTGCTGGGACGCCCTGGGGGGGCTGGCCGGGGCCAGGACTGGCGGGTCTGCGCTGACGGGCTCTCCCCCTGCCTGCAGCCCCGAGACGATGCGCATGGCGCGCGGGGGCAGCTCTGGCCTCCTGAAGTGCGGGAAGGGCACGACGTATGAGGGCGGCATGCGCGAGCCCGCCGTGGCCTATTGGCCGGGCCGCATCTCGCCGGGTGAGTCCTGCAGCCTGGGTGCCTGTCGTGGGCGCGCACGGGCCTGGGAGGCCCTGTTCCCTCGGTGACAGATGACCTGAGGCTAAACCCCTGCTGCAGAGGAAGGCAAAACCCCCCAGTGCAACCAGTCTGGCGGGGGGAAATCCCTTCCTGCCCCAGTGCAGCGCGGGGTTAAGCCTGGGCAGAGGGTTGCTCGGCTGTCCCAGGCCCGTGGGGAGAGGGAAGGGGTTCAGGGTCGGGTGGCTGGACCCAGGTGTGAGGAGGAGGGTGCATAACAGTTCCTGAGCCCATCTCCTTGCTCCCAGGCGTGACCCACGAGCTGGCCAGCACCCTGGACATCCTGCCCACCATGGCTGCCCTGGCCGGGGCTCCACTCCCCAACATCGAGCTGGACGGCTATGACCTGACCCCAGTGCTCTTCGGACAAGGACCGGTGAGGCCGGGGCCGGGACCGGGGCCGGGGCCAGAGCCTGCCCGTGTGGCCCGTTGGCCCCCATGACGCCGGTTCTGATCTCCCCACAGAGCCCCCGGAAGACGGTGTTTTACTACCCGTCGGCCCCCAGCAAGCTGCTGGGCGTCTTCGCCGTCAGGCAGGGGAGGTACAAGGCCCATTTCTTCACCCAAGGTAACAGCCCCAATCCCCGCATGTGGCTCTGGCCCCGGCCCCGGCCCCAGCCCCAGCCTGGGGGGAGCTGAGTGCTGTTTGGGTTCCTCCCAGGCGCCTTCCACAGCGACACGACCCCTGACGTGGCCTGCCACGGGCTGACGCCGCTGACGGCCCACAAGCCCCCACTGCTCTTTGACCTGGAGTCGGACCCGGCAGAGAACTACGACCTGCTGCAGAGCAGCACGGCCCCGAGCCCCGTGGTGCTGCAGGCGCTGAAGGAGATCCAGATGCAGAAGATGCTGTTTGACAAGCGCATGGTGTTCGCGGACAGCCAGATGAGGAAGGGCTACGACCCCGCCCTGGAGCCCTGCTGCGTCCCTGCCTGCACCCCCAAGCCCTCCTGCTGCCGCTGCCCCTAGCCTGGCCGTCGCCACGGCCCCGCTGTCATCCCTGCTGCAACCCGCGGCTGCCAGCACAGCCTGACTAACCCCCCAGGGCTTTGCGGCCCCTTGGGGCTCCTGGCCGAGCTCCTGGTGGTGCTGGCTAGTTGCCGAGCCGTGAGCCACAGGGCTCCCAGCGCTGGAGGACCCACAGTGCTCATGTTTATTACTAACGCTGGACGTCCGTCCGCCCTTCGTGGGGAGGTCTCTGTCTGCCTCTGTCTGCTGCAAGCCATGCCCAAAGAACACGGAGCGGGGATCGTGAGGCCAGGAGTGGGTGGGAGTAGCTCCGTGCGCATCCACGCGTGAAGCCAGGGTCCTAGCCCACGGGTGCTGAGGCCTGGGGCTGGGTGGCCACATGCCCCATGGTGCCAGACAGCCACAGGCAGTTGGAACAGGCTCCTGGGTGAGGGGAGGAGGTCTGGGCCAGACCCTGTGGTGCTGGGCTCAGTGCTGTGGGTATGGGTGGCTGGGCAGGGGGCTTGGGGCTGGCATGGAGCCCCCTCGCAGCCCCCGGCCCTTGGGCTCTGAGCTGCGGGCACGGGAAAGATGCAGCGAGACAGAGAGAGCCCAGCAGTGCACTGAGGGCTGGGGGGAAAGGCTGGAGCCCCCTGGACGGTGGCTGTGGAGGAGAGGCCTGGGGGGATAGCGGGGCTGGAGGGGCCATGCTGGGCCGGTCAGCAGAGGAGAAGGGGAGAGACGTGTCTGGCTGCAGGGGACAGGACAGCCAAGGCTCCCATTACTCTCAGGGAGGCTGCGGTTGGAGGTGAGGAAGGACATGGAGCTGAGGCCCCAGCAAGGCTTTGGGACCTCCTGGGCAGCCAGGATGTGACCCCGGGGCCTGCCTGTCTGTTCTCTCCTTGGAGCTCAGAGCTGCTGCCTGGGGGAATGGAGATGGGGTCCCCACAGGCCACCTCTCCCCAGCTCACGGGCTCTGATGCTGGCATCGTGGGGCCGGGCACTTGGGTGCCATGAGATGGTGAGAGACCCATTGAGCTCTCCCTTCCTGCCGAGGTTTGGGCCATCGCCATATCCCTTTTTCTGCAAAACAAGCTGGAAATGCAGCTTCCAGCTTCGTCCCGGGACTCCAGGAGCTGGGGCTTCAGCCGCTGCAAGCATGGGAGCAGAGGAGAGCTGGTCCTGAGCCCTGCGAGCAGGAGAGGGGACACAAGGGGAGACCCCCTCGTCTTCCAGATGTGCCAAGGGAAAGTGGCCCTGCCGCAGAGTTGCAGGGAGCTGTTGGGACAAAGCCAGAGCAGGTTCAGGGCTCCCCAGTGCCTGCACTAACCACTGGGCCACAGCCCCACCCACCCTTGGCTCATTGCCTTCATGCTCCTGGCCCTAGCACCCTGCAAAGACGGGAACAGGCTGTGGCGTGCCCGGCGGGGCAATGGCAGGGGGCCGTGCCCACAGGAAAGCAGGCTCCGCGGGGGGCTGGGGCCTCTCCTCACGGGGCATTGGCCACCCCATGCAACAGCCACGGCTGGAGATTGCAGGTGACCACAGCTCCGCTGAGCTGCCTGCCCAAGCATGGCACCGGGGCCGGAACTGCGTGCAGACCAGCCAGAGGCAGGGTCAGGCCCAGACGAACCCTGTCTAGTCAAACTACAGTCACCCCAACGCAACCCCAGGCATCACCCCTGCCTGTCCCTGGGATACAGGGAGGCCGCAGACACCAACGTCCTGCTGCTTCTGGGGGGTTGTGAGCTGTGGAGGGCCCAGGCCCAGGCTGTGCCCCTGCTGCAGAGGAAGGCAAACCCCACCCAGTGCAACCAGTCTGAGCAGGGGGGAGATCCCTTCCTGAGCCTGAGCGCAGGGGCAAGACCCTCCAGTCAGGACCCTGTGGGGTTGGAGCAGCAGGAGCCTCCATCCATGGCTGCCTGATGCTGGGGCACGAGCCCTTCCTGGGGAGTAGGGACCAGGGGCTGACGCGGCTTTGCTATAGCAGAGGGTGGTGGAGAGAGCCCGTGGCTGGAGCTTGACAAATACAGTGGGACTTGTCATGAGGCACAGACAAGACGCTCCCTGGGACGCTGGCAGCGCCCAGCGTAGGACATTTGGTGGCACCAGGCCGTAGTTATGTCAACGAACTGGTAGCCTAAGGCACTGCAAAACCAGCTGGCTTCGCTGAGCCCTGGAGGGCCCGATACAGCCTCAGCATGCCAAAACGGTGCTTCAGACACGCACGTTGTACAAGTTGAGAGTAAAAAGTTAGAACTGGGTCTTACTGGAAGCACTGGTGGAAACTAGCTGCAGCGTCAAACTCCTGGGTGCATTGGGGCCGGGCAGAGCAAGGGAGGGAGAGAGATGGGGGGTGGGGTAGGAGAGACCAAGGAGTGTCCGGCCTCGGCCCAGCCCTGCTGCGGCCAGGGGCGGATCCAGGCTTTTGACAAGGGCGTGCAGAGGCTGAGGTGCCTCCACTCCTCGTGGGCAGCAGCGGAAAGGCCGGCTGCGCCGGCAGTACATGAAGACAGTTACAGAGGGAGGGGGGTTAACGCCTGTGGAGTCAAGTGATTAGCAGGAATTGGGGTGCCGATGAGCCATGAAGTCCAGGGTCCCACTCAGCGCTGCCTGAAGAGAAACGTGGCTGCCTTGGCCAAGCTGGCAGTGGGAAGCCCAGGGGTGCAAGTGCCCCAGCGCTGCCCCCGGCCCAGGAGAAGGGCAGGAGCTGGTGGCCATCGTGGCTGGGAGCTGAAAGTGGCTTTGGCCCCTGTGGTGGCAGTGGCCATTTTGAATAGGGGAGCTGTGACGGATGGCTTTGTGTGGCCAATGAGAAGCCCCCAACATGGTGGGCCCCCCGCCAGTCCACAGTGTGGGGGGCCAGGCCACGTGCCCGCCCCACCCCCCCATTCCATCCTCACAGGCTCATCACATGGTCGCCTAGCAACCCCGTGGGAATGCGGTGACATCACAACAGTCCATGGCCCGTCCCCGGTGCTGGGGGGCCCCGGCCTGGCTGCCCCTGGGGCTGCTGCCCCTGCTGCTCTGGGGCGCAGGGGGCCCCGACCCACAGAGTGAGCGGCTGGTGGCCGGATGGGGACGTGGACACGGCCCCTGCGGGAGCAGAGCCCGGGGCAGGGCCGTTCCCTGGCTCCCCCTCACCCCTGGTCCTCCGGGGGGGGGCTGTGGTCAGGAGTGAGGGGCACCAGTGGGGCTGGGGGAGCCCGGGGAGGGGGGCTGCGGCTCAGGGACGAGGGGCCCTGGTAGAGCCGGCTCGCAGAAGTCCATGGGGGAGGAGACACCCTGGCTGCATCCCTGGGCCCACTGGGTCCGGCTCCTGGGGCCAGGGCCTTCCTCCGTCTCAGTGCATCTCACCCGCCTGCTGTCACTCGCAGCCTGTGGGCTCCGGCCCCTGGCGTCGGACTACGCAGGCATGCGGATCGTGGGGGGCGCGGACGCCCTGCCGGGGGCCTGGCCCTGGCTCGTCAGCATCCAGATCCCCGCGCGGGAGGGCACCCGGCACTCGTGCGGCGGGTCCCTCGTCAGCCCCCGCTGGGTGCTCACGGCCGCGCACTGCTTCAAAGCCAAGGGGAGGTGAGAGGGGCCGGGGCTAGAGACAGGCTTGGCAGGGAAGCCCCTGGCACCCAGGCTGGGGATGAGGCCGGGCTGGGCCAATGCTGCTGGCACCAAACCCACGGGGTCCTGCCTGGAGGGTCTTGCCCCCGCGCTCAGGCTCAGCCCCACGCTGCACTGGGGCAGGAAGGGATTCCCCCTGCTCAGACTGGTGCGCACTGGGGGGTTTCGCCTTCCTCTGCAGCGGGGCACGCCCTGGGCATGACAGGCGCGGGGCTGACGCAGTCCACGGCACTGATGCTCTCCCACGCGCACGCAGGGTGCTGCCGCAGTGGCGGATCGTAGCGGGCGTGACGGAGCTGTCGCACCTGACGGACCTGGCGCAGACGCGGGGGGTGCAGCTGGCCGTGCTGCACCCGGCCTACGACCCGCACCGCGAGGCCAACGACGTCGCGCTCATCCGGCTCGACCGCCCCGTGGCCTTCAACGACCTGGCGCAGCCGGCCTGCCTGCCCAGCGCCCACATGGCTGTCGCCACCTTCGCCCCCTGCTACGTCAGCGGCTGGGGTGTCACCGACGAGAAGAGTGAGGCCCTGAGGGGGAGGGGGCTCCTTCTTACCCCACGGGGCCAGCTGCGCCCTCATCCCAGGGGCAGGAGATGCACTGTGCACACGTGTGTATGCATGTGCACACACCAGTGCACATGTGATGCTGGCACGTGGCCTGAGCCCTTACCAGTACAGCTGTGCACGGAGGGCACCAGGGACATGGGGCCGAGACCAGTGCCCGCAGGGGACCGGAGCCACGGCCTCAGGCTGCGGCTGGGGAATCGCGGCTGGAGATGATGGGAGTCGAGGCCGAGAACAGGCCCCCGGCAGCACGGGGCAACACTTGCACGGGCAGGTTGGCCCGACACCAGCTGCCTTGTTTGGTGCAGGCTGCTCGCACAATCCTTAGCTGGGGGGTGAGGGGCTGTGTGGGGAGCTGGCTGCTGAGGGCTTGCAGGGCTTGGGCCGTGGGTTGGCAGGGGCTCGTAACTCTGGAGGGTGGTGCTGGGGATCCCCGGGTCCCCCCTCTGCCTCCTAAATGAAGCCCGAAGTCTCCGGGAGCCGGGTCAGGGCTGCAGCTCCCGGCGCCTCGGTGGCCCAGGGCAGCCCTGGGGCGGGGGCCGCACTGACGTCTCTCCCCGCCCACAGGCCAGAAGCCCTCGGACATCCTGCAGGAGGCCCAGGTGCACCTCATCGACCCAGAGACCTGCAACAGCAGCCGCTGGTACAACGGGGCCATCACCACGACCCAGCTGTGCGCGGGGCACGAGGAGGGCGGCATCGACAGCTGCCAGGTGTGTGGTGCTGGCTCGGCCCCGGGGCTGCAGCTGAGCTCCGGCCTTCGACGGCCGCGCCACATTGCCTCGGCTTCCCTGCCACGACCCGGCAGAGGCCGAAGCAGCAGGGTGGGGGCAGCGCAGAGCACCGCGGGTGCAGCTGGGATGGGGGAGTGGGCGCGGGTGGGAGACGGTGTCTTTAACCACGAGCCCCTGGACCAGCATCGGTAGCATCAGGCCGATGTCCTGGATGGAGCTGGCAGCGGGGCCACGGCTGGTTTCCCCCCGAACGCTCCCGGCCCTGGCAAGCGCAGCTGGAGCCGGGGCTGCTCCGGATCAGGGTGCAGAGGAAGCTGCTTTGCTTTG